AGGGACAGAACAATAGCCTGTTGTTTCCGACTGTTTACGGATCAGTTTAACGCCATAATCCATGCCTTCTTCAAGCACACTCATCATTTCCTTACACGATGTAAAATCATTATAATCAGTTCGGATTGAATCGCGGTGCTGGCTGTTGCTTATGTTGTCTCAAAATGGAATTTTTTTTAGTTGATTATTGTTAATTTGGCTGGTCTGAATGAATAGGGTTGTCACTTCCCTGCCCTGGGACACTCTCAGCCCCCGTCTTAAATATTCCATTAAATTCTGTCAGTGAGACAGTTAAAGTGCTTTTTATGAATCCACGTGGGATTGTGGGTAAGATTTCCCGCATGTCCACTGGCTGTTAGCTGAGATCTTGGGGACCCCTGCGGTCACCCCAAGGAGCCATGCTTCCTCGATTTCCTGTATGCCAGCTCCTGCTGCTCCCCGTCTCATGGACGCACAAGACCCATCCTTCCTCGCAGGAAAAAAAACAAATTTCCCACCCTTGGTGTGACACGAGAGCTCACCTAAGGAGTCTAGTCACCTGAGGCGATGTGACACCTCTTGACCACCCTGAAGTTTCCCAGAATCCTCGAGTACCCGCCCCCCCCCCACGCATCAAACGCATACTGTGCTGCAACCTAACGAGCATGAAGCATACGAACATCCCACTGTCAACGGTGTTAATTACTGATTCTCTGACATGATAGGACACAGCCCGGGCGAGATTGATTACTCTTTGCGCTGGGTTGTCTGCCGATTACTCAGACAATTAGGCGACTAATTAAATACACACCCGTGCTTCCAAACGAGAAGAATAACACAGAGAGGCTCCCTGGACATATGAGCTGTCGGGAATCCTCCCCGATGCTTCACAATAAAAGCCAGGAAGCGCTCACCGAATGGGACACGGCACCAACGGGAGGGGGGCATAAACCACTCCTGTCACATGACCTGTGCCGCAGACAGCAGGGAAAGGAAGTCTTGGGGGCGGGCAGCCTTTGTGAGCTTTTCTGAAAGTGGGCTTGGCGGAGGGAGGGGGGGGCGCGACACCCGTGCACTGGGGAGAGCCAGAAAGGTCAAGTGCAGCTAATTAACGAGAGAAAAGGATGGCGGAGTCACATGGGCTCAGAGGCCATCGAGCGTGCCCGGGACGTGTGGCTGTTAGCGGCAGACACAGCCAGCAGCGCATAAAGGCGGGCAGACGTGTTATTTCTGTTGATGACTTGTTTCACACGTCCGCATTGATGCCATTGTCTGTCCGGCCGCTGACTCCTGGCTAGTGGAACTGACCCATTTCCCCACCTTTTGTGATGTTAATGGCCTGTTATCTGGACGAGGGCGGAACATATGTGGTTTAATGAAGAAGCCGGGGACAATGGCCCACAAGGCGAAGCCTCGCCCCCGTACCCCACCCCCATTTCTTGATGGTGTTGATAATTAAAGACGCAACAATGCGCCCCCATTCCCCCCACCCACAATTTAATATCCTCTGCGTGAGCAGTGTCTTTGCAGAGAATAGGATGCAAATCGGCAGGCTGTTCCATTAAAGCTTCGTAAGGTGTGTTTGTTGAGATTGAATTCCTTAATTATTAGGCTTTTGTTGCTGTTTTCTGTCTGCCGTTGACTCTTTTTTTTTTTTGTCATCATAAAGGTCAACGTAACAAGATAATATTAATCAAAATGAAAGTTTCCACGTGGGGCTTCACGCCTGTGTACCGTCACTCTGAAGTTATATTGTGAAGCCAAGCGTCTTTTAAGCCAAAGGGGAAAATCTGCATTTCTTTCAAAGTGGGGGCTCCTTATTTACATGCCCTCCCTCCCTAATTAGCATGCATACATATTTAAAATACAGACTAATAGTGATAGGTTTTTGGGGGACATTTCTGAGGGGCCCCTGTTTCTGACGCCGACCGACTTCCTTCTGTCTGTCGGCCATTTGTGAAAAATCAGGTGTCTCACTAATGTCTCTTACACCGAAACAGGGGCCCTTCTAAAATCCGTTGTTTGGAGTAGATGTGTGGGTACAGATAGGCCACGACAGTAAGTCTCGCTAGCACTTGGAAAATGATTTTGTTTACGCTACATGCATTCATTTACATTGTTTTTTTATCTGACGTTTTTATCTAAAACAACATACAATTCAGAAAACAGGGTCAGTCACTCTCTGAAGCTACTGGGGATAAGGGCCTTGATCAAGTGCTCAATGGCAAAATCCGTCTACTGGCCACAGGACTTGAACCCGCAACCCTCCAAAATCCACATCCTAATCCGCAGTGCCACACATTGCCCCATATATGCCGATTGGTTGTGGCTCTGGCGGTATACACCCCCCTCCCCATGAACATCAATCATTTGTATTTATGCTCCTTTTCTTCATTAATATCCCAATCTGTTACTCACCTCAGATTAAAGTGCCTGCGAAAGAAATAAATAACGAGTAATCTAATTCTTTCAAGTAATTTATGCTCCATTGTACACCGTTAAGTCGACGTTGCTGCACGAACCAAGGGTTTAATTTCTTCATTGAGTTTTATTTTCTTGATCAGTTTTCTCGGAGGGAATCTGTGGGACGCTAGGCTTTCCATTTAGCTAGCTGGTGGTAGCCGGATCCGATAGCCAAAAAGCACGAGTTTGCTCACCAGGCAATCAAGCCCTTCAGCTCTGTCCACTAATCGTGGGCAAAAGAAAACATGCGTCCCGTTCTGAGCTGGCGAGCTTTGTCTGTGTTAATCTGCCAGGCCCCGTGTCTTAAGGATTCAAACATAGAGTGAATCCTTATCCTCCGTGTGTCTGGGCTTGGTTTTCTCCTGTTACTGTCCCTTTTCAGACGTTTCTCCCCAGTTTTACAGATCATTAGCTCTTCATTCAGCTGTCTTTTTGTGTCGGAGCTAATCAAAGACACGAGCCTCGTTTTGTCCTTCTCACAAATCACTCTGCTTTGTTTGTTATTGATCGGCAAGCTTATCTTGTAACTTCCAACAGAGACTTGATTAAAGGTAATTGAAGACAAGATGGCAGCTGGAATAGAACCTTCCAGAATCCGTCACGTGCTAATTACAGCTAATTTCTTCATTAAGGTGTTTTTGCAAACACTGGGAAAACCACAAAACTCGAAGTGCTAAATGGTAGGTTTTAAAGACGGAAGACAATAGGACAGTCTTGTAATTATATGTTTTTAATTCCAGAGCCCATACTGCTATTGCCCTGGGTTTCCTGTTGCAGTGTGAGGAAATGATTTATTTTGAGATATTGATTTTCCAATGCGGTAAACTGCTCCGTCATGTTACTAAGGGTATTAAACTCTCCTTATGGTCTGGGTGAAAGCTAAAACGATTCCGGGCTGTTGGCTACCGGTTTGTCACTGTTAAATGTCCCAATTCTAAATATTACAGAGCAATTTTATTTTAACCTACCTATATATATATATATATATTTTTATAGGATTTTATAATTTCAGCCAAAAATGATTAGAATTATGAAATGTCAGTGCAAACTCCTTGCAAAGCAAGAATTTTTTGTGTAATGTCCAAAAAATGGATTTGCATATAGGTCACTACTTATGACAATACTACTTATGACAATACTACTTATGACAATACTACTTATGACAATAGCATCCATCCATCCATCCATCCATCCATCCATCTTCCAGCCACTTATCCAGTACAGGGGGTGGGGGGGGGATCCACTTCTATCCCAGACAGTAATAGGGCACAAGGTTGAGGAACAGTGTGGCCAAGACAGTAATAAAATGTTTGTTAAATATGTTATTGTAACAACAGCAGTAACGGCGATGACGACGGATGAGCGATCAGCTGCTGATCGAGAGGACGAGCCGAGCGTGTGTCTCTGTCTCTCTGCTGAAAGCCATCGGGGGGGGGGGGGGGGGGACAGCGATGGAGTGGGACGGCCTGTAATGACCTTTCACAATGACCTTCCGCTGATAACACGCCCTCAGCCACTCGCCGGAGAAGGGTCCAGGCGCTGGGTAGCCAGGAGCACATTATAAATGCATTGGGTGTAAATATTACATTAATAAAATCAGATGGGGTGAGCGGGTGGAGTGTCCTGCTTCTGTTTCATTAAAAAAAAGAACTTCCAGTAGGTCTGCTGTGAAGAATGTGTTAGAATGTAAAAAGTGGACTGAAAAGCAGCTTTCGGAATAGAAATTACAGATAATGTGAAACTGAAATGAATTGCGTTTGCGTTGTATCAACAGTATATAAGTATATGAAGAGGAATATTTTAATTATTTGTGTTAATTTGCTATTATTGCATTACTTTAAATCCATCAGTTTAATACCTAGTGATGCATAACAGACACCATTAAAGCATTATTTAGTACCAGTTTTAATGAGCGACGTTAAAGATTTACCGTGGCCAGTAGTGAGATGAGGTCATATGTGGGTGTTTCTTTTTTTGTTAATGTAAATGGATTATAAAAGTGGGGGGAAGCACTTGGGGTGCTGGTTAGACTGGGCTGCAGCCCGCAGAGCGTATAGGAAGGTGCGCTGTCTGCATGCGAAGGGTGAAGGCAGCGGGACAGACAATCTGTCACAGCCAGGGTAGGTTATGCAAACAGACAGGCTCCCTTTCAGCGCCCCATAACGTCAGATTTGGAGTTTTCCCCCTTGATTATCTGGCAGTGCTTGTCATACAAACAATTTGTCAGCACCTGACTCTTGCATGACAGTCAGAGACCAGCCTGCATCTGTGATTTATGTTGTTAGGTGGTATTTTTTTATGCTTTTTTTTTTTTTTTTTATCTTTCCCGCTTGGCTGCTGATTTCGGAACACCTGTTGCCACTTTATCGACGACCTGGACCTGACGGGTGTCTTTGACGCATTTCAGAAAGTGATACCTCTGGACGGCCAGGTCCTGCTTAGGGGGTGCTGGTCCATCCCCAGTCAGTGCGACCCATTTGCTGCTGGGACACCAGAACCTGTAATGCAGGTAAAAAAAAACATCACAGTAAACTGAAATCTGCAATTTCCCCCAACAGGACCCAGGGAACATCAGGGGGAGACATTTGTATAAGTGACCAATATGGAAAATTCATGAAAAACGCCGCGATCATGAGTAATATCTGCTTGACTGATGTGAAGAAAATTAAACCATTAAATTAAGGTAAGCTTAGTTATTAAATATAGTAGTCTCACATTTCCAATGTTGCAGGTTCGGTTCCATGTATGTGGACTAATCCTGTTATTCCCAGTGCTAGTTTCCTGCCTTGGGATTCCTCTGGAGTGACATCACATCCAGGGTGTTCCCTACTTCGTGGTTTGTGGGACCCTGCCATGAATAAACAGTTAGGGAAAGTAGATCAATGCATTTAACACTTAATATATTAACCCAAACATAATCATTTATGTATTACCAATAGCAAAATGTTCACACATTAACATGGTTACCTGGAACATTCTTCCAAAGCAACTAACAGGTTTTACAGGTGAGTATTTTAACTACAGTATGTCAGCACAAGTTCCTTGAATAGTATAGCAACTTTCAGTTTGCAACTTTGTGTCAGCAAACATGATTTCTCTTCGTGCCAAAAATGATTAAAAGTGTCTGTGATTGCGTGCGTGATTATCTGCTTTGCGCAAAGTTCCTTTGAATTTCACGGCCCTCAGTGGTGAGCAGTTAAGGTCACAGCAAAGAATGGGATGTGTTCCAGTTAAGAAGTAACAGTCAGTAGGGAGCAGTAGGGAAATTTTATAAGGACTCTTGCGCACAACACCAGACCCTTTTATCTGAGATCTCGAAATGCATTAGTAGCACAAGTTAGAGACGTGCCTTGGGGTGAAGCAGAGTTTCTGCTGCGTGTTCCTGTGACAGGGTGTACCTTTTATGCCAATGGCTGTGCATTTTCCATAGCAATATACATTGTTCGATTTATTTCCCCTCATGGCTATATTAGCTATGGACCACGTTTGGAGCTGTTGTCTTATATGACCTTTTGCTTGGAATATAAAAAAAAATACTTTTGCCTTTGATTTCCTCATACGATTTTCCAGCAGTCAAATTCTGCTGGGATCTTTCAAACTCAAATTATATTATTTGTTCCATTTGCTGTTGTTTCAGGCCTAGCAGAGTAATTTGCTTTGGGTTTTCCATGCTGTGTCGGGGGTTTTGGGACCCTTAGGGAATTAATGCATGACTGCTTGGCCCAGATAGGACACATTGGAGGCGACGTGTCACGTGAAGCTGGAGCCAAATCACTCACATGAATCAAATATACTTTGGCAAATCAAATATACTTTCACGGTACTTTCAAAGTTACTTTGTGTTTTCAGTGGGGATTATCACAATTATAATATAGGTGGATTTAATTCAATTGGTTCATTTCTGACTCTGTAGTCAAGGAAACCTGCACCATGGTGATGGTCATATAGTTGATGGTCAGGCAGTTCTTGTTTTCAATTAAAAGCCAGGAGAAGACTATTTTTGACGCATTAATGAGTGTTTTTTAATTGTTTGTTTGTGACTGACGAGGTTCAAATGTCCTCTGTAACCATATGTGATTAATGCAGCATAGGTTTCTTGGACTGAAAGCCCTGATTGATCACCCCTCGGGGCGGGGGGGAGGGGGGGTGGGACTCGTCCTCCTTTTGTCTATGGCGGGATGGGGGGGGGGGGGTTGGAGCGGCCCTGTCCGGCAGAAGTAAGAGGCTCCCGTGTGTCCTGACGGCGCTTGGCAGGGAGGATCATAAATCACACGGCAAATTTGGTAATTTTATGCCCGAGGGGTTCTCCGGTTCTCCGAGAGATAGATAGGAGCCACGCCGCCAGGACGACTCCCCGACAGCTCCTCTCAGAGCCCGCTGAACAAATTGCCGCTTTCTCTGTAAGTGCCGGGCCAGGGGAGGCCCTGAAAGATGGAGAACGAGCCATGTTTATCATTGATAATGATGGTGTCTACACGTCCCCGCCTCCGTCTTCGAAAGCTGTCGGCAGCCCACGTTTAATCGCTCACCTTCCAAATATATCTTCCTACATTATCTTGTCCCATCTCTTGATTGCGTGCCCTTAATCCTCGCTGTAATTGATTGCTCTATGTGCTGCTACCGTGCGTCATGCAAAATTTAACTTCAAATCGGTTGCCTTTGATGCCTCTCTGTTCAGTCAGCAGTTTGTGCCCCCCACTTATTAGTGGGGGTGTCAAGCAGATGAACATGATGAGGAACCTTTTTGTGATCCAGCAAAGGACTTGACTTTCTCAGGTAACACATCTACCTGCATGCGTGGATATAGGGTCACTATCAATATAAGGTGCTTTAGCGTAGAAAAAGCCCTTACTAATCAGCTAAAGAACGACGTGGGCTGGTGCCCCCAGCGGTAATATACAATCATCCATTAACTACAAACATTCCCCGGGTTACAATTGGGTTTTGTTCTGAGAAACATGTCAAAAGACGAAAATATCGTGAGGCGAAAATGCATTTTAATACAGTTACACCTAACTTAACAAGCATCATAGCCTAGCCTAGCCTACCTTAAACATGCTTAGAACACTTACACTTACAGTTGGGCAAAATCACTAGCACAAATCCTATTATCCATAAGTATTGAATATCCTCTGAAATTCATTGAATAATCATACCCAACCTAAAGTAAGAATATCGTAACACAGGCCATCGTAACACGGGAAGCTTCTGTAGTTTCTCGGTGTCAAAGAGCACGTAGCAATGTGATCAGTGGAGAATGGCGATGTCTTCCAATGACATGAATAAGGACAGAGGGCAGTGGCTCCCCATTCCAGGGGGCCCATCCATACTTTCAGGACGCTGCCATGAAAGAGGAGACCAGGTTAAGTCATCTGAATGAAGAGGTTTTCAGCTGCGTGATTACCACTACTCTCCTCCTCACTTTAAAGTCCAGCTTCCTCACAAAGGTCACGCTTAAATAGATTCCTGGGCTGAAGCAAAAGCATGTTCGGGTCTGTTTGCTTAGCGTCACCGTAGTAACTGCTAAAGATGTCACGTGTCATTTAACGTTTGATCCCCGGTGAGCTGAAATGTGGGCGTCTGGCTTCCACCGATCTGGGGGAAATGAAATGATTTTTTCTGCGTGCCCAGCTCTCACGGGCCGGCTCGCTCGAGGGCCTCCCTTCCGTCATGCAGGTCAGAGCAGCCCCTGTGCAATCAGCCGATCGATCAAACCGCCACCACCCCCGCCCCCACCCTGCCGTCAAACACTGCGACCAAGCTCCCCGCGGACCTGCCGGGAGTCGCAGATATGATCCATTTATTTGTGAATTTAAGCCGTCTGATGGGAGTTTAATGCTCTCACTGTAAGCTGGAAAGCGAGTTCCCCTCCTGCGGCTTCCAGCGCTGAGCTGTTAACGTGCCCGCTAAATTAAAAGAAGGTTCCTCTTTCCTGACGGCAAGCTGACAGGACAAGATGGATGTGTCTAATTACTTTAGGGGGCAGTGTCTGTCTTAGCCAGTTTCTGGAGGAACACAAAGGAGCTGAATGAATTGACTGATCGTGTCGTCCGTCAGGCTCTCTCGCTGGCCCCGCCTCCTTATTATTTGTCAGCCCGGAGGACGGGGAGCATATTGTCAGCTCATCTAATAACTTTATTGAAAAATCAGCACATCTTTATTTCATAAGAGGGGGTGTCAGATGGCCTGGCTCCAGATCCCTATTAAGGTGCGTTTATATTCCGATCGATCTGTGCTACTATCCGATTTAACGTAAAGGCGGCAGAAATGCCGTCAAAGAGCTACAAGCAGTTTAAGAGCGTTTGTCCTGTAATGGGAACTGCTCTGAACTGGCTAGCAAAGTGCGTACTGAAATCTCTGCAAACACATGTGTTTGTCTTGTTAAGTCATACCACCCTCCTCCACCATGAATTACCCACATGATGTCGGTATTACAAGAGGCCTGAAACGATCAGAAATAAACACAAGACTCCCCACGTCTATCTTTCGTGCCTCAGGTGCCTATCAATTTTTGTGGAGCTGTTGTGTAGGACCTCTATGAACCGCTCAGAGACGCTAATCCCTCCATTCAAAGATGGATGGTATGACTGATCATGTCTATCACTTCCGGCAAGACGCCATGACGATCTGAAGGATTCCCCCACTACTCCCAGCCGGAGAGATGGTAGGATGAGCCTGGAAGTTTCCATATGACATTATAAAGCTACCGTGTTGAAACATATTCACCCCATTGCCTCCTGATTACTTTAATATTGGCTTGGCCAAGGGAGAGGTCTTCAGCGGTCAAACCTTTTCATTCCCATCTGTGAAAAAGCAAAGCTGTTTCTTGCATTACTCTATTAGCAAAAGTATTCGCTATAGAAAAAAAAAAAAAAACGCATATTCATACCATATATAGAGCTTATACTTGATGACCAAAGAGGTTTAAAAGTAAGTAAATTGCCACATTTGCATGTCTGTGGTCCCAATATATGTCAGGACACTTCAGAGAGCAGAATACGATGACTGGGGCTGTCCGCTTATGGCTGATTTTTTAGCGTCTCTCTGAATCCCGGGCCTGTTTGTCTTCCTGGGACAGCTCAGTGCACTTTTCCTGCTCAAACAACCAGCAGAAGTCCCCAGTCCAATTAAAAATAATGGAACGTTTTTTTTTGTCACCCAGATAACAAACCTATCCTACCCTCCTCTCTCTTTGTGAGAGAACATTTAATATTTAAATAAAACGGCGGGTTTGTATTGAAGCGCCGTTCCACACTCCGTTCCGCATACCAACTTCCACAAATCCCCGGCCGCGGTCTTATGCAGATACGAGAATGTGACTTTTCCGAGGTTTAGCGAAATATTCCTGTCAGCAAAGAGCCGACGTATAATTACTTTTAACTTCAGAGCGACTGATAATATTCCAGTCAACTGATAAACAGTTCTGTCAGACCTATGCTGCGAAGCAAAGATGAACTGTAACAAGCGATGAAATGCTTGAATGTGTAATTTCCCTAAAAAAAATAAAAACAGCCAACCACATAGAATATGCATGCTCTCATAACAACTAGTTCAGTGCTGACTTCATTCTTAAAGACTTTGTTAGCTTTGTTTAAGTGCACCCTTGCTGACTTCAGTTTTAAACACTTGATGACTTTAAAGCCTCCTTCAGACATGCACTGCCACCCTGAATTTTTCGAGACA